CTTCCCAAGCGGCGCACTAGCGCAGTGCGCCACCGGGCCGGCCCCGGGATCCGAACTCTTGGCCTTGGTGTTATCAGCACCGCACTCTCCCAAAGTGAGCCACAGGCCGTACCTTCAACTTAAAATTTTAAAAGATACTCTTTTTTTTTTTTCCTTTTTGTCTTTTTTACTGACTGGTGACGGGATCGCAACCCTCGGTGTCGCGCCCGTACCGGGGACCGGCAATGGGATCGCAACCCTCAGTGTCGTGCCCGCACCACGCTCAGCCAGCGAGCAGGAACCGGTCTCCACATGGGATCCGAACCCTCGGCAGGAGCGCCGCCATGCTCCCAAGTGGCACACTCTCCAGTGCGCCACTGGGCCGGCCCAAAATTTTAAAAGATACTCTTAAAAGGCAAAATGTCCTGGGAATGCTGAGGTGGCAATAAATCAGTGAGCAGTATGCACATGGATATATAATTTTAAGCCACAGTATTCAGCTCAAGAGCTCAGAGGTGGTCTATCTTGGTACAAAGCTCTATACTGACTTTTCTCATTTTGGTTCTGTTCTTGCTACTCTCAGCCTTTCTGTTTTGACTATAAGATAAACACAGGTTCTACCCTAACTTTTTTACCCCTCTGCTGGTATTCTCTCAATTATCTCCATCACTATTTTTATTACAGGGAACACAAGGAGAAGCAAGACTCTCACTCTAAGGAAGCTTAACTGCCAAGAGAGCGCCAGAGAGAGGCTTTCTGGAAGAAGCAACATTTGAGGTGGATGGAGTTTCAATGGGAGATGCCTTTCCAAAAGGTACCATACAGGAAGGCATGAGGCCCATGTTCAGGAAGCAGCCCAGAGTTCACCTCAACTGGGGTGGTGAAGATAACACTGAGAAGACAGGTCAGAGCCAGAGAGGGTTGAACATGACTCAAAAGGAAAGGAGCAAGCAGATGTGGAGACCCACTAAGGTTTCCTGAGGGAGGCTGTGGAGGTACTGAAGCAGGATGGTGAGGGATGGGGAGATTAATTAGGATTTAACAGGGAATGAGGTAAGGCATAAGCAAAGGAGTATACAGGAAAGCAATATAGGAGGTTAAACCTAGGTAGAATCAAGAGTGTTTAACAACTCATTTGATGTAAAGACAGGGGAAAGGGAGTGAACTGACAAAAGATGCTTTGAGTCGGAGGAATTAGAAAGAGATAGAGATGGGCTGAGCCCGTGGCTCACTCGGGAGAGTGCGGCACTGGGAGCGCGGCAGCACTCCCACCGCGGGTTCAGATCCTACATAGAGATGACCGATGACCGGTGCGCTCACAGCGCTCACTGGCTGAGCGCAGTGCGGCCGGTCTCAAAAAGGACAAAAAAAAAAAAAAAAAGAAAGAAAGAAAGAGATAGAGATGAAGAAACATGAGGCAGAGAGAGAGGAGCTGGCCCAAGGAATATAACAATGACGGACAGAATATTGAATCTGTCAGGTGGGGGCACAGAAGAGAAAGCTGCATAGATGTGTATAAAACCTGCAGGTGGAAGATAAGTCTCGAATTCGTAACAGACATGGACTAAAAATACTGATTTGGGAAGTCATATGAGTATAGGTGAATGAAATTAGTGATGGAGATAGTTGAGAAAATACCAAGAGACGGGGAAAAAAGTTAGGGTAGAACCTGGGTTTATTTTATAGTCAAAACAGAGAGGCTGAGAATAGCAAGAACAGGACCAAAATGGGAAAACTCAGCTGCCAAGAGAAAAGAAGTTTTACTGAGAGGTTGAACACCAAGAAGCAAAAGCAGTGGATTTTGACTAGAGGCAGCAGGAAATGGGAAGGAAAAAGGCTTGGAAAAAGCCCCATAGATAATTCTGGAACTAGAGCAAAAGTGATTTAAATAGTGAACAAGTGGGAGGAGGTGGAGATAGGAGAGTGCAGATTATTCCTTCAAGTTTGACAGTGAAAAGGAGTGGGTAATAGGGTTAATAAGTAGATTTAAGATAAGGAAGACCAAGTAAATTTGTAGACAGCAGGAAAATGCCAATTAAGGAGATGAATCATACCAAGTGAAAGAGGGATGTAAGTTTTGTTAAGAAGGGTTACTTTTTTTTTTTTCAAGGAAAGGGTACCAAAGGAAAAAAAAAAGGGTTCCAAGAAAGAGAGGCATTTAGGTTGGAAGGGATAGAAGTTGTAAAGAACTCATCTTGCTGGCCTTGATTTTCACAAAAAAACAGGGATAAAGTCATCTATTAATAATCAGGTCAAGAAGTTGAATAGTTGGGAAGATTGGAAATAATTTCAAACAACTGCAACATCTCTTACTTATAAATAGTACTCTATGAACATTAATTTGAATACAACAGGAAAAAACATCTACTTGTCATAAGCCATCTTTTGTCTGGAACTACACAGTAATCAATAGCTGCCACCTCCTGTCTTCAGCAACATGAAATGCCCTGCCTAATCAGAAGTGCAACTTACAACAAAGGGCTCTCAAGCCCATCTCCTATCAGGGCTCTAATAAATGAAAGCAGGAGGAAATAAACCAAGTGATTAAAATATTATCCAAGGAAAAAGGTGTTTAACATTCAACCAAAACTTAAAAAACTGGATGAAAAAAATGAGGAAGTTGGGGTGACAGAATCAACTTGTTTCACAATATAGAATAAGAAGACAAGTTTCTTGACTTTTTTCTTGTTTAAAAGTAACAAAGCATAATTTTTTTATGTCTTTTGCATCTACATTAAGATCTTCAAATGGGGGCTGGCTGGTTAGCTCAGTTGGTGAGAGTGCAGTGTTGTAACGCCAAGGTCATAGATTCAGATCTCCTTACCGGCCAGCCACCAAAAAAGAGAGAGAGAGAAAAAAAAAAGATCTTCAAATGGAACATTTTTATGTAGGAACCTGAGGGCCAACTATATTGGAAGGTCTCATAAACCAAATGGTCATTTCATTAAGGGATAGCTGAGATTTGGATTCCTAAATGCTAAATGTAAGTTTCACTACATAGGTTTTCACTGAATATCTTTAATCCACATGTTTCCTAATTATATTTTAACTGAGATTTTGGCTTATTTCTGAAGCCCTATCCCTGCTTCCACAACCTCAGTTAATCAAGAGTTGACTATTTAAGGGTTATGAAGAGAAAACTAAGAGGAATGCCAGACAGCAATAAGGAACTAGCTTCAGTTCACTGATAAAATCTCTCCATTCTTCTATTCTCTGGGTAATCTCAGGTTAAAAGAATTTCCGCAACACTTGAGTCTTACCTTTTGCTATGTCCAGGAAAGTATCTGATGTATTTGTTGTCATGCAAGGACAGGTAACGAATAGTATCTGTAAAAAGATAAAGAAAGTATGATGACATTGTACTTTTTTTTTTAAGACTAGTTAAGAGAAGCAGTGGGAGTGGAAAAGGAACAAAGAAATCTGTAACCGGTTGTGATCTAAGAGTTGTAAACACCACTGCACCAGACCAGCCGATATTGTACTATTTTAAAAGGAGTTTACTTTGCCTTTTCCTTTTGAAAAGACAAGGTCAAAGAACCCATTATTTTCCATAACCCAAGCAAGGTATAAATAAGTAATGATAATTCTTCTCCACAGCTGAAGAATGGGCACGTAGATTTCATATAACTCAAAAGCAGAGTTCTTAAGATGAGAACATATAGAGCAATATTTAAAATCATTGTTTTACTACCAGTCTTTGGCTTCTTCATAGTTACAATGCAACTTGCCCTACAAATGTATCCTGGCCAAAAAGAGAAAAAAAAAAGAAAATCAATAGTTTTAGGCATTGGGCTAGTGCCCACAGAAAGGCAAACCTTAAAGAAAAACCATTTGGCTGCTGAGGAAACAAGCTCAAGGAGGTGGGCAGCCAAGCTTAGCTGAAGATCAGACTGTACCCTGGCAGCAAATTTTTGTCCAAGGTTCTTCAGCAGTGTGTTGACCCAATCCTGACCCATGTGAATGTTCAACTGGATACACAACTTACATTAAGATTAAACAGAATGGAAAGAGAATTAATGTCAAGATATGGGAGAAAAAGATCTTAAGACATTTAAAAATCAAACTCGTGAAATATACCAACAAGTCATAGCAGTGAGATTTTGACAATATCAAAGAAATCAATAATCATACAGATCTGTGCTTGGGGAAAATAAAACAAATACTCAAAAGCCAAATGATTCCACTAAAAAAGTAAACAAACAAAAAAGATGGTAGTGGTAGGGGAATGAAGTGCCATAAAGAATAGAATTGGAAAGTAGAAAAGTACTGTGCCCCTAAAAAGACAGGGAATAAGGAAAAATTGTTGTTGAAAAACAGTTAATAGGAAATGGTGCCTAAATGTAGAAAAAAAAGCACAGAAAGAACATCCTGGACACAAACAGAGCACAGAAATAAAGAGGTTGAAAGCACCAAGTCATCCCAATGGTTCACAAGGGTACTTTCTAACAAGAGGGCATTTAACCTAGGAGGGGAAAATGAGCACTCTTTGTATGCTCCATAACTGAACTCTACATGGTTTTCCTCAAAAACATTTTCAAACTTCTCAAATGACAACTATAAAGTATTCCTGGTTGTTCTAGTGCTAAGAACTACTCACCTGCCCTAAGAAGAAAAAGACTTCCTCCCCATTACCTGGTTTCCCAGAGATGAGCAGGGCGTCGCCATCCTCTCCGCCCCACTCAGTAGCTGGCGCGCTGTTCCTGGCAAGGCAGTGGCCTGTACAGTTATCTCCTGTACCGGGTGGTATCATAGACCCTCAAACTGTACAAACTACTACCTCAGCCTGGAATCAGGCAAAAAGAAACGAAGCGTTGGAGGAGCTCTTCAGGATGCACTTGAGACAGGAAAGGCAACATCCTTACAGCAGAGGACTGGCAGCAAAGCTGCAAGTGCTACACATTTGCCTCATCTTGTACCACATTTGGAGAATTCTCATTTAATCACCCAGAAAAACAGCCCAACAGAAGAAATATACCAGTCATTCAGATGATCACATTAACATGTTTCCTCGGGATCCTAATGTTTTTTATTCTTGTCCAAAAGCATTAACTGCACTGCTAACATGGAAAACCACTTCTGAAATAGAAGCATGAAAAGTAGAAATGATATACTTTTACTATAACTTAAGTACAGGCAGAAAAGTCTTAAAAAAAAGACTTCTGCTGATCTGCTCTGATAGGCACAGCCAAAATAGCAATCTAAGCAATCCTTGTTGAATGACATTAGAAAAATCTTGCTGCAAAAAGTGAAACAATCAATAAACCAGTGAGATAAGCTTTAAAAAAAAAAAAAAGAAACAAAGAAAAAGAAAAGGAAAGAAAAAATCCTAATGTGAAAATGTTATAGCTCAATTACCCAGATGATTTGTCAACTCAGAAGGACTTATCCCAGGGGAAATGCAGGCAAAAACAGAGACCATTTTACAGAAAGAAATTCACATGTTTAATTTCTAAAACTAACCCTTCACTCTTCAAAGATGTTAAGTTTTATTTAAAAGTAAACAGGGGCTGGCCAGTTAGCTCAGTTGGCTAGTGTGCAACCTTATAATACCAAGGTCACAGGTTTGGATCCCCATACCAACCACCTACCGAAAAATAATAAAAGTAAAAAAAGGGGATCAAATTCAAATTTTAAAAAAGTCCCTGGAATTAAACATGACTAAGGTCAGTACAGTGTTCTTTATGGCACAGACCAGAAAAGGCTGGGCCTACACCAAAAACTCCTACCTCCCTTAAATTATTATGGCTCAAGCATTTTGGGAAACTTCCCTCAAATCTATATATTTTGAATGGTAAGATCCTGTTGTTTACCACTTGCTGTGTGTCAAGTATTCTTTTATTTGTTCTAAAGTATTCTTTCAAGTTTCAAGAAGTACAAAGCATAAATACAATTATTTGCTTACTTTTTCCGTTCCCCACTCTAAACTGGAGATTTTTCATACTCAGTTCCAAGTCCCTCCAAAGTGCTAGTGGATTGCTTCCAGCATTCCTTTAGTCATAACAATGTAATTAGCATTACTGACAGCACAGGAAAACATTTAAACTAATTATAATCAAAGCAGAAGTCACAAAGATTCCTGTGAACTATTTAACAAAAGCAACCATGACCTTAACTTCCTAAAAAGAAGGCTTGCTTACCATCTATTTTGTTAGAGCTGTAAACAACTGTGTTTGCCGCATGAGTGTATCTGATGAGGTCCACGCCATATTTCTTACTGTACAGGGTTCTCTTTGGTCTGATGAGAAACAGAAAGAAAACCATCAAAATCCTCCATCACCAAAATGTTGGATTTCTATATAAAGAGAAGCACTTGAATGATGTGGCAAAGGTGAGGATTCTTGGTAAGTTTTAACACTGGAAAGAAACAAAATTTCTTTCAAGAAGGAGGAAACAACAATCAACCAAACTCAACAGCCATCTAAAGAAGCCTTTCACTTCTGAATACCTGGTGCCAAGGTTAGGTAGGAAGCAGAAGTAAATCTGGAAATTCAATTCAGTTTTTAATACATTGTTCAAAAGTAAACTTTGAGAAAAAGAAAAGCATATCTATTTAAGAAGGAAGAAAGGCACACAAAATAACAAGTCATAGCTTACAATAAAGAGGGATATGAAAACACATCAAACTCAAGAGGCCAGAATTTTCTTCTTAAGCCATTCACTTAGAAAAGCTCTTTCTTCAAGGCAGTGATTTATCAAAACTGAAACCAGATGCAAAACTGCTTGTCTTTCCTAATATAACCTGCTCTTGCTGAAGATTTCCATCCTCCCTATCCTACAGGTCCAAAGCATGGCTTAGCCTTTCAGAAAGCAAGCCTAACTTTCCTTAGCAAAACTAGTTAATGGTTCTTTTGTTTTTACTTTAATGTAAAAATCACACATTTCTAAGCTAGAGGTTACCAATTCATTTGGTGAAGAACCTTAAACGTCTTCCTCTACAGAACCTTGAAGAGAAAGCTAAAACTGATCTCAGCAAATCCTTTATAACCCAAAACTTTGTTACATATAGCTTACATTAGGCAAAAAAATTTTTACCCCCAAATATCTATGTAAAACTAGATTCAAATGCCAAGACAATTCCCCAATATGAACCAAGTCAGAAAACAAGAAAGCCTCTAATGTCTATATTTAGGTCTTAAGGAGGATTTCATAAATCCTGTACCAATGTTTACCAAAAGTCCCAATTTATGAAAATGAAAGTTCACCCTCTCAATGTAAAATCCTCTTGGAATCTGGATGCTAACCAATCAGATAACGCAGGTAGCCTTGAGAAGTCATTTCACTCTCAATTTTTTTTCAATGTCAATGAAGCTTCCCTATGTAAAATCTATTTCCAAAAAAGACTTCTCAATACAAATGCACTGGATTTTCCACATTATTATCTTTACCAGAGTAACATCTCACCCCTGAAAAGATCAACAAAGGCTACCCTGTCCAGTCCACTGTACGGGGTTGTGCTGTGGGGTTATTGCGTGACCACCAATGACTAATTGTGCCTGAGTGTATGTGTGCTTGCTCTCTAACGATAGTTGATTTTGCTTCTACAAATGGAAAAAGTGTACCCAAGTATTTCAGCCTGTCTATCATAGTAAAGACAGAACTTGAACAGCCAATGTTAAAGGGTGTGATGTATGAACAACTTTTGGTGCCATTTAAACAAGACCTATTGGGCCAGCCCAGTGGTGCACTGGAGAGTGCGCCGCTTGGGAGCGCAGCGCCGCCAAGGGTTCGGATCCTATGTGGAGACCGGTTCCCACTCACTGGTTGAGTGCGGTGCGGGCGCAACACCGAGGGTTGCGATCCCATTGCCGGTCCCCAGTACGGGCGCGACACTGAGGGTTGCGATCCCGTTACCAGTCAGTAAAAAAGACAAAAAAAGTAAAAAAAATAAATAAATAAACAAGACCTATTTGTCTCGAATTTGTCAAAAACACTAACCTGAGATTTGAGGGTTGCGATCCCATTGCCGGTCCCCAGTACGGGCGCGACACTGAGGGTTGCGATCCCGTTACCAGTCAGTAAAAAAGACAAAAAAAGTAAAAAAAATAAATAAATAAACAAGACCTATTTGTCTCGAATTTGTCAAAAACACTAACCTGAGATTTGTGCCTAATAACAGAAATGTATTACCTCATTTCATTTCTTAGTTTGAAAGCAAGATCCTAATATAACGCATCCACTTCAGGGGTTTTTACAAAGTCCATGCACGATATTTTTCCAAATATTTTGGTAAGCTTCTTTCTTCAAACTATGATTCTGGTGATCATGTATGAACAAAGAAAATAACATTAAAGCCTTCTCTTTGAGTAATTTGCACTTATCACAAACAATACCCTTTATATTCTTCCAAGCTGACTACCACTCAATGGATAAGTCCATTATAAAGAAAACTTAAATGAACTCTAAAACTGGAAAATACTAAGCATAAAATAAATCATGTTTTAGCCAGTTTCAAGCTCCCAAATTCTTTTTTTTTTTTTAGGTATTAAAATTTGGTTTTGACATTTGCAAATATATAAAAGTTAGGGTGAAAAATGCTTGTTTTAAAACATGTCGGGCTGGCCCGGTGGGGCACTGAAGAGTGCGCCGCTTGGGAGCGTGGCAGCGCTCCCGCCGAGGGTTCAGATCCGATGTGGAGACCGGTTCCCGTTCACTGGCTGAGCAGGGTGCGGGCGCAACACCGAGGGTTGCGATCCCGTTACCAGTCAGTAAAAAAAAAAAAAAAGACAAAAATAAAATAAAATAAAACATGTAATAAATTAATTGGTGTAAAAATCCATACCTTAAAAAAAAAAATGGGGTTTTTTGGCAGCTGGCCAGTACAGGGATCCAAGATCCTGTGACCTTGGTGTTATAAGGCTGCATCTTGATGTTACAAGGCTGTGTTCTAACCAAGTGAGCTAACTGGCCAGCCCCATACCTTAAAAAATGTTAATGATGCAATATTGTGCTCATGAAACAAAAATCTTATAATTCCAGAGCCTCTCATTCGCACATTTCAGTGTCAAACTCTCAAATTCTAACATCAGTACCATCTAGTAAAAATACTATGCGTCCAAGGAAACACTACTTTTCTTCCAATGTTTGTCTGACGTACTCTAGCAGCAAAATTTTCTTTCACATTATCACTTAGAATAATGGTGGCTACTGAGGCTGTCTAATATCCAGAGAAGTGATTTAATCAATGCCACATATCTGGTCACAAGGCCACACTAGAACCCAGGTCTCCTAACTACCAGGCCACACCCTCACCACAGATCACAATGAATCAAGGTCACAACTGATCACAGGAAATTCAAAAGAGCATGCCCTATAGTATCAATATTAAATTTTCTTTTTTTTTTTTAAAGATGACCGGTAAGGGGATCTTAACCCTTTACTTGGTGTTGTCAGCACCTTGCTCACCCAGTGACCAAACCAGCCATCCCTATATGGGATCCAAACCCGTGGTCTTGGCGTTATCAGCACCACACTCTCCCGAGTGAGCCACGGGCCGGCGCGATATTAAATTTTCTAATTTGGATAACTGTGCCTGGTTACGTAAGAAAAGGTCTTTGTGCTTAAGAAACCCATGTTGAAGTGTTTAGGGATAAAGGGGCTTGACACCTCCAACTTACTCTCTAAAGGTTCAGGGGTAAAAAATGCATACATAGAAAGAAATATTTACCTACAGAGTGATAAGGCAAATGCAGCAAAATGTAACCAGTTATTGGATCATATGGGAGTTATTTGAAACACTATTGTAACTTTCTGTAAGTCTGTAATTATGTAATAATGCTAGGGAGTAAATAAATTGCATTATTACATAAAATTGGCATTTTACTTTTAAATAGAGGACTTCATGTCACTGTCATCCTTCCCAACCAGACGAAATTATGCCACATTTAGAGACAAACTAAAGAAATGCTATGACAACTTTCATTTCCTTTGAAAGAGAATATGCATCTCTAACCTCAGGTTCTGGGGACAGGTTCTAATCTGTGCACAAGCACTAAACATTTCAAGCAAGCTAGCTTCAAACTACTTCTAGCTTCAGGACTCCATAATCCCAATCCCCACCCTTAAATGTTACTCCCTCCTCCAAATTGATTCAGGTGGCTAGACCTGGACAAAAACCCATCCACTAAATGAATAACATTTACTCAAATAACTAAGTATCCGTCCAGCTAACAATTCCCTCTCCCCCAGGATCACCTCTGCTGGCCACTCTTCCACATACTACAGGCAAATACAGAGCCAGTTACATAATACTTTCTCATAACCCCAATGGGAGAAAATTGGAGATACCATAATATCTAAGATCAAAACAGCATTTCCTTAGATAATCAAATTCACAAATGAAGAGACAAATTCCAAAACAAAGACTATGAGTTACTTAAAAAAAAAAAAAAAAAAAAAAAAAAAAAAAAAAAAGCAAAAGAAACACATGGAAAAGGTAGAGAAAAATCCAAGATTTCAAAAATAAGATCTGGGGGCCGACCCAGTGGCTCACTTGGGAGAGTGCGGTGCTGTTAACACCAAGGCCTCGGGGGTTCGGATCCCATATAGGGATGGCCGGTTGGCTCACTGGCTGGGCGTGGTGCTGACAACACCAAGTCAAGGGTTAAGATCCCCTTACCGGTCATCTTTAAAAAAAAAAAAAAAAAAAGATCTGGAACTAAGTAACAAAATGAAGTCTGACAAAACCAGTAGCCACCAAATTAAACCAAACATTAGCAAACGTGCTTGGGGAAGGTGGCTGAGGGTAAATCAAATTTAGCCTAAACCAGGGCCGGCCCATGGCTCACTTGGGAGAGTGTGGTACTGATAACACCAACGCCATGGGTTCAGATCCCTATATAGGAAAAAACAAAAACAAAAACAAATTTAGCCTAAACCAGTTTCTGTTCCAAAGGAGCTCACTACTTAGCAAGGACTTGAAGCAAGTCCACAGGGGTGAGATGAGACTGACAAGGCTCCCAGGGAGAAAAGTAAAGTGCTGTGCTTATAAAATAATGCAAAGAGATGCAGGTTTGTGTGTGGTGGGTCTACAGATAACTTGGGGCAACATAAAAGATCACAGTCAGACTCGGAATTTCGATAATTCCAAGTAGATCATAAAGTGTAATTTAAAAAAAAACCCCAAAACTATAAGAGATCCCAATACGGGCCAGCCGCCCTCCACCACCCTCCCACTCCCCCAAAAGTATAAGTAGAAGCACGAAATTGTTCTACGATGCTTTCTTTGTTCTAACAGGAGCAAACATTCAGGTCAGGATGAGACGGCCAAGTTCGTTTGTGTCTGGCAAAAAGGAAAAGTTTTAGATGTTGTTAAAAAGTTCACTACAAAGGTAGGCACCGAGTCTGAGGGACTAAGAGAAAGGCTTGGAACAGAAAAGAAAAGGGGGGCTCGAAGAGGCATAACAAATAAATCCTGACAGCTAAGAACTGCAACCCACGCGGCCTGACGGTAGAAAGGCCGCGCGGGAAGCTGAGGGGCAGGAGATGGGCGGAGTGCCAGGGCTGAATCGAGGTCACCGCGGAGAGGGCAGGAAGACGGAGCTGACGCTGTTGCAGGAGGCAGGAGAGCAGACCCTGCAGTTCTGCATCGAGGCCAGAGCCGACCGGCACCTCTGACTGCCTGAGGAGTGGAAAAAGCTACCCGGGGCCCCTGGTGGGCGGACAGGGCGTTTAAAGGTCAAGGTCAAAGTGAGGGCTGGCAAGCGATGCAGAAGCGGTCTGAGGAGACCGAAGACGTACCAAATAATATTACTATTATCATTATGACTACTACTATTATTTTTTAAAAAGGCCTTCTGGACGGCTGCGGGGTGGAGATGGCCCCGGCTGAAGCGGGTGCAAAATTGCCTGGGGGCCGCAGTCGGGACGAAGGGCGGGCCGCGGAGCCAGTGCTGGGCCACCGGAGGGAGGAACTCAGCCCCGGGCCCAGAGCCACCGCCGCACTCACTTGCCCTCCTGGCAGTCATAGAGCACGATGGAGTCGTCGTCGCTGCTCGAGATGACCGTCTCGCCGTTGGGGCTGAAATCGAAGCAGTTAATTTTGTCCGAGTTCTCGCGGAACACCTTGGCGACGCGGAAGCTCCGCAACACGCTGTCGGTCAGCTTCATGGCGGCGGCTGCTGAAGGCAGCGGCGGAGCAGGGCCGGGGCGGGGCCCGGCGGCGGGCGAGCAGGCGGGCTGCCGAGGGGCCAATCCGGGCGGGGCGGGAGCCGCGTCGGTGGCGAACGGGAGGGCGGCCGCCAGTCAGGTCGCCTCTTCCTCTCCCTCCTGCTCGGGCAACGCTCTTCTGCCTGGACTGTGGGGCCTGCCGACCGTTTCCTCCTTACAGTCGCCTCAGGGCCAACCGGCAAGGCGCCGGCTCATTGTGTCCGCCATCTTGGGGCGACAGCAGAAACCGAGGGCGAGGAGCCTCAGCCGCGGCGAACGCCGGGAAAGGGGGCGGGGCGGGAACCGTACCGCCAGCCGGGGAGGCGGGGTGGTGACATCAGCGCGGCAGCTGAAGAGTGTTGTGGCAGAGTGGCCTAAGGCCCCAGTTCCTTGGTGCGCTGCTGGGAGGGACGGTACGAGACGCCCACGACCTTGCCCACAGGGCCCACGGGAGCCCGGTAGCCGAGGGCATTTGTGCGGGATCGCAATCCCAGAGGGACTCGGGTGCCCCCTGCAGGCGCCCCGACAGCAGGCCGCGTGGGAGCGGATACTGCGTGGTCCCGTACGCCCCTGGAGGCCTGCCCTGGGGGTGAATCAGGTGAATTCACCTGGCGCGGGCGGCTTGACCACGTCCGCTACAGAGCTCGCTTAGAGAGCTTCGATTTATTATTTTATTGAGGTATAATATACAGTAGACGGACAGATTTTAAGTGGATGAATTTTTTTTACTTGGATATACACCCTTGTGACCACTATCCAGAACTTTAAGCTTTCTTTTTATTTATTTATTTATTTATTTATTTATTT